ATGAGAACAAGGTGATAACAATATACAGGAAATGTCCTCAGTTTTAGTCTTTGTCAGTTTGGTCAAATTTGAGGAGGCACATAACTGTGAGTCAGCGTTTGTACTGTGATACAAATTCTGATCTTCTTAAATCTTGCTCCTGATTAATACCTTCCATATTATGATAGAAGGTTTTAAACTGAACCAGGCAAACCCACTCTGGAAACAAAACTTAAAAACTAAATAAAAATAAAAACTAAAGGAAAAATCAAAACTATAATAGCTCTTGTCGATTCAGGATGTGGATGAGGTGTAAACATTTAACTTGAAGTCACTGTTCCAGCTGTTTAAACTTTAAAGTGATGTAAATCAGGGTCAGCAGTTCTCGAGGAGCAATTGGACTATTTCCGCAATTGCTGAAATGTTCCACAAAACAAAACAATTAAGTGTCTTCTGCATTTTATTTACACCTTTAACAACCTTTCCTGTCAGGCTCGACTCCGTCTAACAAATGAATAGTCACAACCATATTAGTTGAGTAGTTTTAACAGTAGTGTTATAATATTCTTCTCTCCGGCTGCGGGACACTTTAACCCATAAGATTTATTTGGCCTGTTGCTTAACATAAATTAACTATGAGCCAAGGCTGCAGCAACACTTATATTGCTAAGTATCAACTAACAATATATAACTAACAGCTTTAATACAGACACACACTTAAATGAAGTTTAGTACATTGTGAAAGGGCTCCATCTGGTGTAATATTGGAAAAATGCATCAATCAATTTACATCATGTTCCAAATAGCAACTAAGAAGCAGTTTTGTTTTATAGTATTTCTTATGTATATGTATATGTATTTCTTCATGTCTATCCTGTATTGCTTTTAGTGCAGGTTCAAACTCTTACATATCTGGATGTAGCATGTAGACACCTTTTTAAGGGAAATAGGGTAACGAAATATTCTTTATGTTGGTATTGTCAGATCATTGCTGAACATGGAGGCTGATTTCTTAGACACACAAATCAAAGATCAACAAATGGAAAAAAGACACTATTTATTGATGAAATGTCAGTTTTACCACGCAGGAAAAAATAAAGCCCTGTAATCACCAGAGTATTTGGCAGATACAATGAATGACATTGTTACATTACTTCCCATTATCACAAACTTGTTGCAGCCAGAAAATACAATAAAATCAACCGTATGTGAGTCTAATTACAAATGACTTCATTCTGCTGACTGCGTTTTGTATTGAAGAGAAAATGTCCTATTAAACATCAGGTTGCCCTTCTGAACCTGAATTACTTCCAAACCGTGCCCTGTAATCAGATTAGACTTAAAACTTCAGATGTTGACAAAAGAAAAACAAATATATATATACTACAAAAAGGCTGCCACATGTTTAAAATGTACAGTGTATCTCTACTGTATGTTACAAACCTTCATTATCAACATAATTCTTCTTCATTTTAACTTCAAGTCAGAAAATATCTTCCACATTATTTGGTTCTACATCTTTAGAACATTGGTGGCGACATTATTTTACAATTCATTTGGTCAACAACTTAGTAGTCTACAGTAGAGTCAGTAAAACCTCCTTTGTATCAAAAATATTATAGTATCGTCAATGTCCTGCACAGAAAATACCATGCAGCATTAAAACATGAAAACACTTACTCATTGTATTCAAAATGTCCGTAAATTTCCGTTGACCCAGTCAAAGAAAACCTAATTTAAAAAGGGTTTACTCCTCTGTTATGTGGTTGAACACAGCATCAAAAGGCCGTTCACCGTCTAACTCTCAGCAGTTTACCAAAATATCTGGAGAGCACAACAATTTAAAATGTATTAATCTGCTGGGTCTGCTTAACTGGGTAATCTGCAGCTACATTTAATGCTTCCTGTGAGAACATCCATTTCCTAACTCTTTGTAAACTTTGTAAACTACAAGCTAAAAGTGACATTTCCAAACTATTTATTTTAGTGAAGGGCGTTTGGATTGTCAGATGTTTTCCTTTAAAAGTTCTTCTAACTTTCTTGATAAAAGGGGATATTTTGATGTAAAGGACACAATGCCACAATGCTACTTGCTCTGACAAACACTATAAACTAATAATTCACTTCCCTTGCTTAACGGACATTAGTGCAACTGGATGTCTAAGAAGCTAGATACACAAACTGTTAAAAAAATAACTAAAAGAAGACTTATACTTAGCCTTGTTACTTAGCAGCGCTACTGTGATTGTGTTCTATATTGAAACATAGATTATGTTACGTAGGATTTCTATGTCTATAACAATCTGAGAACTACAGATTGGAGCGGCGTTATAAACCACAAAGGAAGGAAAGAATAAAAATAAAAAAAATCAACCAAGTAAACATAAACCAGAATATAAATATCATTTTAGCTGAACCTGATATGCAACACATTCAAAAACAAATTGCCATACCAACACAAAAAAACAAACCTAAACCTAATAGTGCAGTCAAAATGTTTTTCCAACAAATTGCAAAACTATTTTACCCATAAAATCAGTGCTTTCATTCTTTCACCCGCAGTTTACATTTTGACAATACACAGTAGAAAAAGAGGAAACAAACTAAAATACCAAAATTTGCTTTGATCATGTGAGTTTAAACTGGAGTTGATGTGATACAATTCTCTTTTGATCACAAACTTTGTTGAAAATAGCAATAATAATAATATAATAATGATTATATGCCTGACATGAGACTGACTGTCCCTCTGTGTAGAATGTAATTCCCATTGAGTCATTAAATAACGGAGCCCTTACATTTAAACCTTTGCAAAGACTAGCTGAGCACTTGCCGGTGTATTTATATATAAGTCAACACAATTAAACACACAGTAAGGCATGAAACAACCCATAGCTTTAAATTCCCACCTCTGCAGTAGGTTTTTACTGTAGCCTAAAAAACAAATAACAACAGCTGCACTGTCCTCTTTACTTGACTGCCACTGATTTTAAATTAAACTACGCTAAAGACTTTATGTATCACACTGCTACCAGTTGCAGGATGGACGACCTAATTGTCTGCTAATCAGCCATTTGTGCCTATTTAAAAAGGACAATTAGATCTAATGTCAGTTACATTTTGCGTCGTAAACTATAAATAATCGATGGCCAGTGGCAGCAGAAATAATACTGAGCTGAATGTGAGCAGAAATGTATCTTGATAAAAAAACACAGCAAGCACGGCCGACAGTTTTCGCTGTGATTAAACTAAATTATTGTTTCTACATGAAAAACTTTGGTCAGAAACTCTGACTGAAAAACTTCCTGTCATTTTGTTCAATAACTTTTTGGGACAAGATGGCACTGACTGAGAAAACAGACATCTCCTTTAAGCTTTCCCGTTTACAGTGTTATTTTTAAGGTAAACCAGATACTGTTAAGGATCCAGAAAGAACTGCATTTCACTGTATATACTTTACAGTCTCGGAAACAATGTACACAAAGTGCAAGTACAAGAAAATATTCACTTGTAATTAGAATTTCCCATGAAGACACAAAATTGAACATCTTCATACCTCATGTGGATCAAGCTATTTTCTTCCCTGTCGATCTCACCTGGAGCCGTGAGAGGTGCAGCGCAATAAACCGTCCTCTGCTCCTCAGACCCCACAGTCATTGGTTCTGTCTTGGAATTTGCGGGTGAGGATGAGGAAGGTGGAGAGGGAGGCGACTGAAATGTGGAAGATCAGCTGCCACACGTTCCTTAGGCCAAGCAGGTAGAGGTTGCATAGGACGATCACACTCAACAGAGTGAAGGACTTGTGTTTCTTCAGAGATGAATGGAACAGGTAGAGGTGGCACTGTGGACACAAGAAAACATGATTCACAAGGAAGAAGAGTCGGAAAAAGAGTTGATGGGTTTCAGTTTGCAGTTGTGTTTTGAAAAGGTGGACCACATTTACCTGGCACACACAGCAGACAAACGCCAGAAGAAATGCCAAAACATTCCATATTCCTTCGTAATCGTCCTGCGTATAGAGAAAGGAGTAAAATAAAACAAAACATTTAATTTAAGAATATAGCTAATTCCCACACTTTTGCAGTTTTGTGCAGACGTCATCATCGTGAAGCCTCTGCTTTCACAGCAAAATGCTAATGTACGGCTGCAAGTTCAGCTAGCTCAACATATCTATAATTAATGTGAGCTTATACATGACTATTTCTGAATAAATCCCCAACAGAACATAATAACTGGCTTTGTTATGATGATAAGTTATGATGCATCAACACGTTGGACTCCTTTTTAGATTAATGTGAAGTATTTGTGATGGTACTCTGGCACATACCTGGAATGTGTACTCTATAAGGTGAACACCGCGGATTATGTTCAAAGATGCACACAAGATATTTAGGACCAGAGAGAGGATGCCTGGCGCCGTCACTGGTTCAAGTCTTACATTCTGACCTGGTAAACAAAAGAAAAACAGACTGTATAAATAGTGTAAAAATAATAAAACACACAGAAAACTCATGTCTGCATTACAGAAACAAAAAGTATCATTGTGTTGTATGAGCTCTTCTGTCATATGGTCAACAGTCTCACCAGATCCAGGACCTTGCTCCATATGCCCATTTGCAATTCCGTTGGTGAGCTCCACCTCCTCCAAGTGAATTATTTGTGGTGGACGGATCCTGAGATCCTCCTGGACCTCTGCCAATGTCACCTCCAGGGCCGGACCGCCGCTCTGGTTGTACTGCTGCTTCAGCTTCTGAATGGTGCTGTCTGTCAGTTGGCAGCGAGAGTGACGTTAGGATAAATCAGCGTAGTTATTTTTAGTTTAAAGTTTCACCACAAAGGAGCTTTGTTTGACATTCAACAGATCGTATTTTAGTGCAAAGCAAAATCCTTTGCAAAGAATAAAATAAATATCAACAAGACAACATTTCTCTTCCTACTCACCAAATTCCAAAAATGGATATGGCCGGTTTGCCAAGGCAACAACAGTGCTATTGAAGCATGCTGTGAAGTCCCAGCGCAGATCTTCCAGGAAGCAGAAGGCCTTAGCAACAGGGAGGCTGCAGTGGCACACGGTCATGTAGGATACACCCTCTGACGAGACGAAGCTGAACAGGTGAGAAGAGAAAAGGTGTTTAGTAAACAAACAGCCTGACGCAGCGTGACTTGGATGCCCCTCTGATCAAATGGACAACATTCTGTCTGCCTTTGGCATCACAACATCAAATACACACTGAGCTGCTTGATAGTGTGTGTTGTGTCTTTTTGCACGTTACAGAGAGCAGAACTGAGACGGTCTGGTTCGGTTCCTGAATCCTTACTGTATGTTGAGCTCCTGGCCCTTGACGGTCCCTCTGTCAGGGAAACGGGCCAGTGCCTTGCTGATGGTCCTGAGCTGCTGCTTCCTCTCCTGGAGCTCCTGGTTGTGTTCAAAGTCTGTGGAGGCTGACAGGGGGAGTCCATCCCTGACCCGGACCACAAAGGCAAACAGGATCAGAGACATGATCCACTGGGTCCATGAAGAACACACTGCCTACATGGGGTCAATAAAAAGATCAGATCAGTATTAGTTTAGCTATAACTACATCAGTTTCATAATTTAATATTATCATTTTCTTTAATAATCGATTTATTTTGGTCTATAAAATGTCAGAAAATCAAAAGTCCCTAAAGCCCAAACTATTATCTTCAGATGTTTAACCCAAAGATATTTTGTTTATTATCACAAAAGACAAAAAGAAGAAACAATTATTTACAATTTAGATTAATTTACTGTCTGTTAATTAACCAAGTGTCAATTAATCATTATGATTAATCATTTCAACTGTATATTACTGGCATATTAAAATACACTCAGTTAATTAGGTACACCCAGCTAAAACTATTACAATTATATTATTTTTCCAATAACACAGCCCTAAATATCTAAATGAAGAATGTAATTTAAAACTAAAACTGTTTTAGGTGTCATTTTAAAGGCTTGTGCTTTTGGTTAATGTGTAGCCTAAACATTACATACACATACAGCTGATGCAACACAGCCTCTGAAATAACCATAAAGTGGAATTACTACTCTTAAACTTCAAATAGTTTGGACTTAAGCTGAACATTAAGTCTTCATTAAGGCTGTAGTTTCTCACACCGCATTAGTTGTTTTGACTGTGTTTATTTTTAACTGCGTAGATTTTTAAATCTCAGTTAAATACCACTTAGAAACCAGTTATATCAGTCTAACTTCACATATACATAATTATTTACGTCTACTTTACCTCATTATCGTGGGTTTCATGCTGCACCTTGTCCCTTAGCTACTGTATGTTAGCTGACTACAGCATCATAACAACCACAAACACACAAACACCAGCTGCAGCTTCACAGTTTCTCCTGCCAGCGATTAACACACAAAACCTGACTAACCTGTTACAACTATACAAGAGAAGTTACAGTAAAACAACACAAAAAACAACGAGCCAGCGAGCTAAGTTGAAATCTTCTTCCTGATACAACAGAACCACAACAAATCTGCTACGGAGCGCCGGGAGGGACAAATCTACTCTCGCTTTACTGAAGGAAACAAAAAAAAAAAGTGAAGTTCGCGCAAGATAAATGTCGGCCGTCAGTGACTAGCTAATTGCCTGGCTAGCTGCTGCACAGAGGTTAGTATAAAGTCATTTTAACCTTTAGATAATCTGCAGTCTGACTGTCGTAGCTGGCCGGTAAACGCGAACAATAAATGCAATTAAACTAACTTTAGCTCCTGTTAGCTTCCTGTTAGCTCTGTTAGCTCCTGTTAGCTGTGAATATGTAGCTGCTGTTGTGGTAAACATGGCAGGGACATGTCGTTGTTCAGTTTCAGACACAACACACAAAGCCGTGAGTAAAAAGCATGCTGTGTTGTTGGTGAATGTGCACATTAGTATTAGTTATAATAATGGTGATAGCCAATAGCTAATCGACTCTGTGATGATCAGCAGTCCCTTGTTTGGATTGGTTCATTATTATTATTTATATTCGGATTATTGGTGTAAATAGTCTGCAGGACGTGTAGCTCACATAACCTCTAATTTGTATAACTAATTAACCTTGAACAAGCTTTGTATAGTCGAGATTATATCTAAGTTATATCTATATATAACTATATATCTACATCTCTATTTATATCTATCTATCTATCTA